TGATATGTCATTTAAAACATAAAATAATGCTAATGTACAATTAACATGCTTTAAATAACTAACATTAACTTACACCAAGTTAATCATAATAGGATTTTTTTTCTAATTACAAAATTAATTATAAATCGTATATTCGACCCACTAGTTACACTAGTTAAGACCTAACATGTGATATACACTCATAGTCTACCCATTTCATATGTCATATTTTAGGTTGAAATTAAATCTAAATAGGGGAAATCCTACCTCTTGTAGCGTGACTCCACCTACTGGAACTCCAAAGAAGCCCAATTTAACTTCCCAAACTTTAGGCCTAGATTATCGTCTTTGATATTCTTTCAAAGAAAAATATGATATTTTGTGTAGTTGCGTAGCTCTCGCTGAGTAGAGCAACTTTAATTCTTGGCTCGAAGCGATTAAACGGTCCAATTTTCGTAGATCCGAAGAAGAAGAAAGGAGGAAAATAAAGAAAAAAAAACTCTTTTCTCCATCTCACTCACTTGACAGCTGGCTGGAGGAAGAAATTTAACTTCCCAAACTATAAATTTATACTATATATACCCTTATATTTATAATTAATTATTATTTTACCCTTTTAATTAAGATTTTTAATAATAATAATAAAAAAAAAATCGGGTTATACAGAAGCTGCAGTATCTACCACCCACTCAGCGTTATGGTTGGAAAAATGAAGACATGTCTCCTCATTGACAAAAAGAATAGCCACGTCCTCTGCGAGAGTGACTAGTGTCTTTCCATCCTGTTTCTTCAACTGATTACTGTCTTGGTCTTGCTCTCGTAGCAACTTGCGGCAGTTTTTCTTCATATGGTCTTGCAAGCCACAATGACAACACTTGTATGTAGGTCTTCCTTCGTCATTTGATCTCCCTAGATCTTATGACTTTCTTCTACTCTTACTCCTTCCTTTTCCCCTGCCTCTGCTACCTCCTTGTTGTCTGTCTCTGCTCTCAGTGACTAGGGCATTTGACTGGTCAATGCCAACATCCTTTCTTCTGGCCTCCTCTTTGAACAAGGCATCCTTAACCATTGACATGGTAAGTTTGCCTCCTAGAATCGAATTGCTGAGAGAGACTACCAGCGTTTTCCAGTTGTCTGGTAAAGAACTGAGAAGTAAGAGAGCTTGTACTTCATCCCTCAGATTCAACTCTGTCGATGATAATTGATTTACCAGACTCTGGAACTCACTAGTGTGCTCGGCAATTGAAGTTCCACTTTTTAATTTCAAAATTCACAAATCGCCTAATCAAAAGGGCTTTATTTTGAGTAGTCTTGGCCTGGTACATATCTTCCAGCTTCTTCCAGAGGACATATGCATCTGTCTCTTGTGCAACATGGTGGAATACAATGTGGTCAATCCATTGCCTAATTTGACCAATAGTTTTTCTGTTCAGTTTCTTCCACTTCGTTCCTTTTGTCGGATCTAGATTTACACCTTCTACCTCCAAGGGATCGTACAAGTCTTTACAGCTTAGAAGATCTTCCATCCGAGGTCTCCAAAGTGTATAATTAGAGGCAGTGAGTTTGATCATGGCTCCCGATGTTGAATCCTCCTTGGACATTTTGAGTTTTGGGCTCTAAATGTCTCAATCAAAAAAATAATCGGGACTAAATTTTGCAAAACGGAGTGCACCGTTGCGTCCAGAACAATTGAAATAGCTGGAAAAGAATCCTGGTTTACTAAAAATGGAGCTAAAATGAGCTCAGAATTGACTCGAAAAATTTTTGGTAACTTAACAGAATATTTCGTTAAACTTGACGGAATATGCTAACGGTGACAGAATATTCACTGGATGAAATATGCTCTGGGAATATTCTCTGAATGGAATATGCTTTGACAGAGGGGAATATTCCGTCGTCTTTAACCTTGCTCCGGTCACCAGTTCGGCGCAATATTTAGGCAAACTTCCGGCAGCAACTCTGGCGATCTCCAGTGAGCTCCGACAGCAACTCCGACTGCCAGTGAATTTTTCGGCGAACTTTCGGCGAGGACCGTGAGAGTGCGTACGATGTCGGATTGATGCAAGGCTAATGGGGTCCGACTAGTTTCGACGAGAGGAATCCAATGGTGCGAATTTGATTTCGAGTTCGTTTAGAACCCGTACGAACCAAAAACAGTGAATTTGAAAATTTTTCGACGACCCAACCGGAGCTGTGATACCACTTGTTGGTTATCCAGGGCCAGAAAAATACCACTAATAAGATATAAATAAAGAGAATATCTCTATTTCACTCTGGAAATAAAATACAAAAATTCTCACTGAGATCTCTCCCGAATCTCTCTCTCTTTGTTTCTTCCTCATTGATCTAAAAATCATACTTTTGGTCTTCACTAAGCTTCCTATTTATAGGGAGTTTTCTGGCCAAATAAGTCAAGAAGGGAGGGAACACATTTGAAGCTTTGGTAAGCTTTGTCAAAGTTCAGACGTCTGCAGTCCACTGGCAAGCCGTCCATAGGGTGGCTGCTGGCATGGGCTACTGGGTAGTAGAGTCAGCTACTGGGTAGCCTTCTAGTTGAGCTGGATGAGCTGGAACCTTCACAAAGATCTAGTTTATATACAAGACAAGATGCTTTAAGCCAAAACATCAAAACAACCCCCCTTTTCACTACCCCTTTTCTACTTTTCTAGAAGTTTCATTCGTCAGTTGGAAGAAGAAAGGGTTGGTTGTGTGTGTGTGTGTGTGTGAGAGAGAGAGAGAGAGAGAGAACATCTAAAATACTCTGTTCATAGAGAAAACATGAAGAGGAATGAAGAGAGGGCAGAAGACGGGATCCATTCACTCTGTTTAGTAGACCTATGAGCAAAAATGTTGCATTTCTTTCCTAGCCATCTAAAATAGCTTCACTTTAATGGTGATAGTTTTAGCTGAACAATACAAAATCCTCTTATCTTCCCTTATCAAAGACCAACTTAAATTGTAAAGGAAAGGAAGTAATGATAGGGAAATCTAGTAAAGATTTTCTTTACAGCAAACCAAATAAAGTACACAAATTACCTTGCATTCCAACAGGAGCTGTCAAATTGCAGATTGACATATCAAACCGACAAGCAAAATAACAAACAAATCATGTATTAGCATGATCTTCAATTGGTTTCGTACATATACTTTTTGTATGCTCATTGAAGTAGCATAGTGTAAGAATACTGACCTTGGAGGGAAAAATCCTTAAGGCTAATACGGCAGAGATTATAAACATTTTTGGTTATATTTGCTTTCTGGAATTTCATTCCAAGTGCTGCAGCACAATCCAAAGCTTGTAAGTTGGTAATGAAGCTCTGCTTTTGCAAGTGAGCCACGTGGCTCTCCATCGCATTACAGCATGCTGTCTGGTTACGTATCCCATTTGCACAGTCCTTTATGACATGGCTCATGTTGGGGAAAACCAGGGGACAAACTGAAGCAGATACATAAAAGGATTATTACCATGCATGAGGCAAGCTGAGAGCATTGGCATTTTTGGGTAAATCCAATTTAGAAAAATGAGCCACCATGAACTAGCACACCAAAGCCTATAACTAGAAAGTTAAAAATTTCTTGGAACGTTCAGAAAATAACAGCTATTAAAGGTTATGAGGCATCCTGACTTGACCAAAATCATCATGGACTATGTGGAGCTCATGCATAGCGGTAATGAGCAACAGAAGAACAATTAGAAATTCATGTCCCATCTTCAATGTAGGCACAGTCAAACCATCATGCAAGAAAATAGTAAGCATAATTGTGTACTCTTTTCATGCATATGCTCACCACAACCTCCTAGCCCTAGGGCCAACTTTGGTAGCAATAAAGTAAATGGTGTGTGCTCAATATAATTTCCGAACCACCTCCCAACATCACCCCCAAACCACCACCACATATTTATAGATATGAGTATAAATACAAAGTAAATATGTATAATTACATCTATCACAGAAACAGTCGGAGGCAAGATTACGTATATCTACACTCTCCAAGCCCCACAATTCCAGGAGCCTGGTCCACTAGGCCACCTCTGTATACTTATATGGATATAGGGAGAGAATAAAATCTACATGAATTTGACGTAGGAATCCAGGATGCCTTTCCTCTAATGATGATTTGACTTAGGAAATCCCCCTGCTGAATCTCTTTAATAATGATCGAAGACTCCACATGTTACAAAAGACTCTGAAAGAGATTCTTTTTGCTCCTGCCTCACCTTTATTAATTTTGCAATTGGATAGTCCTCTCAGAATTCCCTTTGCTTGAGGAGGGTCAAGTTTACTTGCCAGCCATCGCAGTGTGATACTCGTGCAATCATTAACCCGAGTTGAATGATCGGACAATGTGTGGGATCCATCCATGCTCAGAAGATCATAAGCTTTTAATGCAAGCTTTGTAGCAGCTTCCAATATGGTGTTCTGACAAACTTGCCCACAACATTCATTGACAAAATCAATTTTTGCACAGGCTGCAAGAAGCTTGGAAGAATCCACTGTTTTCTCAAACTCATTAACATTTTTGACTGGGCAAGAACCTNGACAAACTTGCCCACAACATTCATTGACAAAATCAATTTTTGCACAGGCTGCAAGAAACTTGGAAGAATCCACTGTTTTCTCAAACTCATTAACATTTTTGACTGGGCAAGAACCANGGGTAAATCCAATTTAGAAAAATGAGCCACCATGAACTAGCACACCAAAGCCTATAACTAGAAAGTTAACAATTTCTTGGAAGGTTCAGAAAATAACAGCTATTAAAGGTTATGAGGCATCCTGACTCGACCAAAATCATCATGGACTATGTGGAGCTCATGCATAGCGGTAATGAGCAACAGAAGAACAATTAGAGATTCATGTCCCATCTTCAATGTAAGCACAGTCAAACCATCATGCAAGAAAATAGTAAGCATAATTGTGTACTCTTTTCATGCATATGCTCACCACAACCTCCTAGCCCTAGGGCCAACTTTGGTAGCAATAAAGTAAATGGTGTGTGCTCAATATAATTTCCGAACCACCTCCCAACATCACCCCCAAACCACCACCACATATTTATAGATATGAGTATAAATACAAAGTAAATATGTATAATTACATCTATCACAGAAACAGTCGGAGGCAAGATTACGTATATCTACACTCTCCAAGCCCCACAATTCCAGGAGCCTGGTCCACTAGGCCACCTCTGTATACTTATATGGATATAGGGAGAGAATAAAATCTACATGAATTTGACGTAGGAATCCAGGATGCCTTTCCTCTAATGATGATTTGACTTAGGAAATCCCCCTGCTGAATCTCTTTAATAATGATCGAAGACTCCACATGTTACAAAAGACTCTGAAAGAGATTCTTTTTGCTCCTGCCTCACCTTTATTAATTTTGCAATTGGATAGTCCTCTCAGAATTCCCTTTGCTTGAGGAGGGTCAAGTTTACTTGCCAGCCATCGCAGTGTGATACTCGTGCAATCATTAACCCGAGTTGAATGATCGGACAATGTGTGGGATCCATCCATGCTCAGTAGATCATAAGCTTTTAATGCAAGCTTTGTAGCAGCTTCCAATATGGTGTTCTGACAAACTTGCCCACAACATTCATTGACAAAATCAATTTTTGCACAGGCTGCAAGAAACTTGGAAGAATCCACTGTTTTCTCAAACTCATTAACATTTTTGACTGGGCAAGAACCACCAGTGAGGTTTGATGGACGGATTGCACATATCTTCTGTAGGTTATCATTGGCACCCTGACCCACCAGAATTTGCTCAAAATCTGAGAGGCAATGCTTTGCATGTGTCCCATTTAAAGCAAGCATGTTGGTATCTTTGCTAGATTGACCAATAAGAATGACTAGAGTGGCTTCCAACTGTGGACAACATATTACATTAGCTAGAAATGGTGCAAAAACAGCCAGACAATCAATTGATGTCATGCTCATCATGCTTTCAACAGCAGCAAAGTTCATCGTACAGAGTCCTGCAAGAAAGAGTAGACTAAAGAAAAATATAACAAGAACCAAGTCGAAACGGTGTTTAACTTTTCAACACAAAAAACTCCAAGAATCCAATGTGTAAAAGGTACACGAAATAAACCTGATAACTTTGGGATAGTGTTATTTGTAAATGGTGTCAATGGAGAAGGTGCAAGAAGAGGAAGAAGAGGCTGAGGAGCTGAAGTTGGGGAGATCCCAGGCAAAAGGGCATCTGCCCTTTTGTCCATAATCACAGAACTTGTCTGATAATCCAATGAGCTGCAACAGGATTCATGTAGGCCTGTACAAGAAGCAAGCATCTGTGAAAAATAGTGCCTCTATTGGTTATCAAGACGGAAAGCAAATGAGAAAAGGAAGAAAAATATCTATAGGTTGCAGTCCCAAAATACAAAGCATATGATTGATCTCATCAGAGGCATCCAAACAGAGAACACAAACACTCACACGCACAAACAGAGGTGGGGGGGGAGAATATGAGGTCTGTATATACTACGCTGCAGTGTTTTATTGGTAAGTATTGAACACATAAACTTATTAGCTAGGAAATCATGAAACCTACTCTAAAGAATATAAGAAGCACCAAATGGCAACTGTCAATTACAGTTTAACTTCTTATGTTGTCCAATTAAAGTTTTATGTACTTTAGCATTTTTTGAACCAATCTGAAACATAGGATGATAAAGCCAGAATGTGTTAGTAAAATGATGTTTTGTAGTGTTATTAAACAGATTTTATGATACAAGTTTCAAAATGCATATTGAACATCTTCATGGCCGAAGGTGCTGCTGGGGCAAGGGGAAAACCAAGAAGGTTGCCTATGATGAAGTGCCTGGTTGGAAATGCAATCAAAGGCACTTGAGACAATGAGGCGACAGTTTAAAGTTGATTAAAAAAAAAGAAGATCTCTGCATTATTGGTGTTTAGGGAGGTCGTTCATCTCTTAAGATGCTTTGTGGATTTTTCAGATTATTTGAGCATTAAATTGCACGTTTTTTCACCGGGGATTTTTTGCTATGTGGTAAAGGCTTCTATTTGCCATATGTATACATTGCATGTATTTTCCCCTTTCTCTACAAGCTGTGTGTACATGAGTAATGCTACAGTGATATTGGTAGTCAAAAGCAAAAAAGACCACGAAGGCAGGGAGACCATTAAGAATGAGGGCTGAAGCAGTGAGGACTGAGAAGAGATTCACTGAAATGACCAAAAAAAAAAAAAATCTCTTGAAAAAAAAAAGTAGCAGAAAAGAACAAGCAAGCCAACCGCATGTAATGGGGACAAATGGTTTCTTCAGTTGAGTGAACTGCAACGAAGTCTAATCGAGATCCAGCTTCTCCAAGAATTATTTTTTTCCCGGATTTATAGTCTTAAGCACAAGTTGTATTACTAGCATCTTATCATAAGATTCTTATATAGTAGTTATGCAACAAGTCCAATTTGGAAAGAATTTATTAATTATTGCTGTGACCGCGAGTTTTCAACACAAAGAAAATTACATTAAATTATCCGCAAGTGGCAATCAGACACCCTAATATTTCCCTAACTCCAGAACACTGCTACATCATCTTGAATATGAGAAACAAGCAAAACAAACCGTAAATAAGCAAACAACCAACAGCACTAATATTGGAGGTAGCTATAAAATATCATTAATGCAATACAGTAGAAGTACAACAAATTACATCGACCAAAGCAGCAAATTTAACAAAATGAAAAACAAAGCCAGAGGCAATCCATTTCGCATCAAATTCTCAAACACAACGGTTCTACCTTTCAAGTTCTACGATACCCATTTCCCTCAAACCCCCCGTATTGTCCAAAAATAAAGCAAATTCATGGTAACCCAAATTATACAAATAAATAGAAATCATGTAAGAAAGCAGCAAAACCAAAGGTAGAAACACTCACAGAGAAGCAGCAGAACCACATTGAGAGGATAAAAATTTAGACTTTGAGCCAACCCTTCTCTCATGCCTGCTCTGTAGTTCACTTAACCAGAAGAGTTGACCACAAAACAANACAAGCTGTGTGTACATGAGTAATGCTACAGTGATATTGGTAGTCAAAAGCAAAAAACACCACGAAGGCAGGGAGACCATTAAGAATGAGGGCTGAAGCAGTGAGGACCGAGAAGAGATTCACTGAAATGACAAANGAGTAATGCTACAGTGATATTGGTAGTCAAAAGCAAAAAAGACCACGAAGGCAGGGAGACCATTAAGAATGAGGGCTGAAGCAGTGAGGACTGAGAAGAGATTCACTGAAATGACCAAAAAAAAAAAAAATCTCTTGAAAAAAAAAAGTAGCAGAAAAGAACAAGCAAGCCAACCGCATGTAATGGGGACAAATGGTTTCTTCAGTTGAGTGAACTGCAACGAAGTCTAATCGAGATCCAGCTTCTCCAAGAATTATTTTTTTCCCGGATTTATAGTCTTAAGCACAAGTTGTATTACTAGCATCTTATCATAAGATTCTTATATAGTAGTTATGCAACAAGTCCAATTTGGAAAGAATTTATTAATTATTGCTGTGACCGCGAGTTTTCAACACAAAGAAAATTACATTAAATTATCCGCAAGTGGCAATCAGACACCCTAATATTTCCCTAACTCCAGAACACTGCTACATCATCTTGAATATGAGAAACAAGCAAAACAAACCGTAAATAAGCAAACAACCAACAGCACTAATATTGGAGGTAGCTATAAAATATCATTAATGCAATACAGTAGAAGTACAACAAATTACATCGACCAAAGCAGCAAATTTAACAAAATGAAAAACAAAGCCAGAGGCAATCCATTTCGCATCAAATTCTCAAACACAACGGTTCTACCTTTCAAGTTCTACGATACCCATTTCCCTCAAACCCCCCGTATTGTCCAAAAATAAAGCAAATTCATGGTAACCCAAATTATACAAATAAATAGAAATCATGTAAGAAAGCAGCAAAACCAAAGGTAGAAACACTCACAGAGAAGCAGCAGAACCACATTGAGAGGATAAAAATTTAGACTTTGAGCCAACCCTTCTCTCATGCCTGCTCTGTAGTTCACTTAACCAGAAGAGTTGACCACAAAACAACCAAAAATAAATATCGAAACGTGCAAGAACACAAAAGAAAATAGATATGTCAACAACAATTAGACTTGAAATTCAGCGAAAAAATTGGTGGGAATACGAGGAAAAAGAACAGGGTAGTGGAGAGATAGAGCTGGGGAGCCATGAATGCAGCTGATGAGAGTATGGGGAATAAAACAGTAATCAGAAGACCCCACAAACAGAGAGAAACTAGTGTAGAACTCGGATACAACCGCCCAAAAGCATTTAAATGGAGGCTTTTTTTTTTATTAAAAAGTGTTTGAATTAGTCTACGCTTATGATTCGATTAGGTCATTTAAGGTAGAACTAATATATGTAGAAATAAATTTCTCAAGATTTATTCTTCAAAAAATTGTTAAAATTTAAATTCAAGATATTCGAATTTACGACTTACCTTAATTCATTTAAACTAACCTTAGGTTATAATTGGATCTTGCTCTTTGCAGTTTTGATATTTTGATGGGCCAGCTTAAAGACTGGCCCAACATGACTGCTTAGTGTGATGAGAAGCCTGGGCTTTGGCATTGAGTTTGATTTGTGGTTGAGCCGAGCTCCAAATACATTGGCTCCTTATATGTGAGGAAATGTGTTCAAAATAGAATTGTAATCAGGATGTTAGAAATCCGCCAAGTACTCATTCATCTAATGGAATGTTATCTTGTGGTAAGATTATATTGGCCCGTTTGGAGCTAAATTTTTTTTGGTGCGAAATAAAGATTTAAAAAGTATATGGTATTAAATTAAAAAAGACAAAATCTTTGAAAGTGATTTAGTAGTTAAGTCTGATATTTAGTAACCTAGATAGAAGTCTCGGGTTTAATTTATTTCCACACCCCTTAAGTCCTAGCAACTCTTGTCCATAACCCTTGTCTCTAACTCAACTCAAGTTATAATGGTAAGTCGTTGATTTCGAGAGAGTAGTCGGCGCAAATCTAATCACTCTGTAATATAAAAAATAAAATAAAATAAAAATAACAAAATAAATATTGAGGACAATAGTTTACAAAAGGTGTAACTTTAATATGATGGTGTGGATGCAAATTTGTCAGGATAATAAAATATTTGTGTTTTTAACACTTGCTAAAGTTACATTAATATTTAATATTATGTGATAAATGACAATAGAGAACCAGGTCGAGATGAATGAGAAATTAATAACGAATCATTATAATTCAATTAAAATTTAGTATTACATCATCACCTAATAAAATTAATCTTATTCAATCTCTTAATACCTAAATCAAACATATCATATAATCTACGTGATATAGAAATAGGATAAAATGGTACACCCATAATTATTGGTGGAATAAATTGAATTATAATCGATTGCCAAGAGTGATTCCATTTTTTATCTACACCATAGAATCCCAAGGGGATTGGTCTCCACCTTTCACACCAGAACCCACCATGGTAGCCATGTGTCATTAACTACAAGAGCAAGTGGTAACACGTCTTTGGGTTGTCACCTCAACAGCAATAATGGGTTTATATATTATATGGATTTGTGACACTTGGTTTTGATCTTGACGATGAATTGGTGGGCCCTCTAAATATCCAAAAGTCTATTGGACTTTAATGGCAGAGAAGAAATGGAACCAATGCAGCACTCTGTGAACCCAATCAAGAGACCAATGACCCTTTTTTGGAAAAGGGGAGCCACAAGGTATCTACCCTTCATTATGTTTGTCCTAATTTTCACTACCTCTCTCTTGGCCTTTGTCAAACACTAGAGCATCTTTCTGACCCAACTAGCAAATTTTTAATTAGTTTATGTATTTTTTGATTAATTTATTTTTTAATTTGATCAAATGTACATCATTTATGTTAAAATTAAGATATTTGTAAGAGATTTATCCTCATGATTTCTAAAAATTTATCAAAATTTAAAATTTAAATATTTAAATTTATAATTCCTTTTTATTACCAATTGATACTACTTAAAATTATCTATCAAATTCTTCTAAAAGCAATTGGTTTTACTCTGTACATGGGTTGAGACTTGGACCACCCACAATCATTTGTCCATATTAACTTTATTCCCTGTTCCATTCCCACCCCCACCACTCTTGAATTCATCAAAACCCTCTGTACCACAGAATTCTTAACAATCTTGGGATTGTTCACTTGTCTCTAGTAGTGCCGTATTACTTTAAATTTTTTTTTTATTTAACGGTCAGATATTTGAATTAATTTATACACATTTTGATTAATTTTTTTTTTAATTCTGTCAAAAATAAGTTAGAACTTAAGTTATTCATGAGAGATAAATTTATCGTAGTTTAACCCAAAATATTGTCAAAATTCCACTAAAGGGTAAAGCGAGAAATTGATCTAGAACATCCCACTCAGGGACAAAAACCTTATAAATAAACGATAATGCTACTCTAGTTAAATTTTGAGATAAAATTTGATAGCTCAAATGATGTGGCATCCTCGTACACCACAAGTAAAGATGCCTAAATAAAAAATTAATCATTGTACTATTTTGGGTAAACAAACCCTCTTGGAGTTGGCCACTTTGTCATGAAAGGTTCCACACAAAATAAATGAGGTCCAATATTTTATAAATAGTTATAATTCGTCTTCGACACGATAAAACATAAAATTTAAGTGTCTAAAAAATCGATCTTACTATATTAAATAATAATTTTTTTCTTTTATTTTTTATTACATCATTTAATATTTAGGTTTACCCATTATTTTTTAAAAAATACCAACAAAAAAATGTAATCCGACAAATTTTCTTAACATGTATATATTATCGTGTATGGATAATGTCTGAAATAAAAATTATGTTAAACTATAAATTAATCAAATGCTAAATAATTAAATATTTGATAAAAATAAATGATATAATGATTTTAAAACAAAAAATTATGTATAAAATAAAATTTCAAATATTAAACTATTTTATTATATAGATTATAGCTAATGAGTGGCAAAGACTCTTTTGTCTTTTTCACTGAATACATATGCATATATTACATTAACAAGTCACGCAAACAAGATTGGGTGGTGGATGACTCAAGTGTCCAACTTCATATGGTGAAAACGTGATTCTTTGTGGGGAAAAACAGGGTTAATTACTTTTTAGGGTTTCGATCAAAAATTTCTTATTTATTTCACGTTTAAAATTATGAATATTATTTTTTTATAGTTTTATATGTAAGTGAAAAATAATTGATACTGTTAGTGTAATTAAAATATTATCATAATACCGACGTTTTAAAATCAGACTTTTCATCTAATCTACTCTTGACCATAAAATTAATGAAACATGACAGCAAATCAATTCATTTCAATCAAACATGTCAAATCTTTTTTTTTTCCCTCAAGTGAGGTTTTGTTCTAGGATCGAAAATTACTTATATTTTTCTTACATTTTATTTTGATATGGGTATTTGGGTATATTATACTATATATTATAAATGGTATTTTAAGTATTTTAACAATGTTCAAATCTCACAATATGTTTTGGGCATCTAAAGTACACTTTGCTAACTTGAATGAAAAAAATAATCATTTCACTTGGATACATAACTGTAAGGAGGTAATCTAGTTGGAAAGGTGCTTCTAGCCGAAATTACAAGGAGGTAAAAAACAATTAACCCAAAAAAAAATTATTTAATTATTTCTTTTGTTTCATTATTATCATAATCAATAATTAAAAATAAATTAATCGAAACTATGTAGCTAAAAATTATTTTCTCATTTAATTCTAATTACTTTTAATACCATCGCTTTATATATTGACATACACAATTGTACGCCTCTCTAAATTTTTTTTATAAACTTTACACATTAGATTAACATAGATGAATATATAAATGGATCTTTTTAGAAAATTTTAATAAGAACTACTAATCTAACCATTCACAATCACTTTCATAAAATTTAGAGAGACTTTAATATACACATCATTACTATAGCAACAAAAAAAATTGGTTTAACCGATATGCAGAATTAACAAATGATTATGTGTATCGATTTCAAAATGTAACTCAAGTGATAATAGAAATGAATTATAAATTCAGACGTTTTGAGTTTAAATCTTGAAAACCTTTTATAACCAAACCATACTTTCATGAATATTAAAATTCCGACGTGGGATGAACTACATTTGACTTAAACACTCTTGACTGTTGAGCCCAAAACAAAAACAAGTTATGGGTATCCAAAATTAATGTTATTGTTGTAGATCCAAAGCACACATAGTTGGAATAATCTAATACTAACAATAATAAACTTCAAAAAAAGAGGACTTGGGCATGTGGTAATCCAATAATATTATAGCTTACCCCAAAAAAAAAATTATATCAAAGCCATCATCATGGACACACCCATTACTTGAGACCATTCATTTCACTGAAATTACTGCAATACACAGAAACTTTTGTCTAAATTCCAACTCAATACAACACAGAGGAAATATATATTTTTTTAAAACAAAAAAGACCTGAAACCGAATCATACTCGGGCTCAATCGCTAATAAGTGGACTCAGTTGGCTGAGTTCACTCGGCTGAGTCATTGCCCATCAAAAATCGTAGTACCAACAACTACAATAAAATCTTCATTTTTAAGGTAGCTAACAATGATTAATCATAAAACTCATCAATTACCCTTTAATTTGAGAAAGGAAAATTCATAACACGATCGGATCGAATTTTAGTAAAGACTAGCCATTGAACCCAGTTTGACTCCAAACTGCATCTCTAACCCGTCTCATATCTCGACCCTTGAGTGTCCGGCCCACACCCACGAAAACCGAGTTAGCGGCTGCCTTTCGGCTCCGCGCCAAATACTCGTGCGGAGGAACTATTTCTGTGTTTGGGTCATCCTCGCCTTTGTCCGACTCGTGCATGGACCCGACCGAGTTGACTCGGTAAATTTTTGTCCAATCAGGCACGTTTACCGGTGCTGATGTGGCCATCTGGTGTCCACGTGGAGACATCACAGCGGTGTCACGTTTCTGAAACTGGTGCAAAATTCTAGGCGACGCCGTATTGCCGGAGTCATCAAAAGCCAATGATAAGCCTCCCACACTGCGATGATCGTCTAGGGAATCATGGCGGCTGCTTCTGACACTACTAACACTTCCGTTACTGTCAGTTGTGGCTCGTGGACTCCATTCGCCGTATGAACCGTTGATTGTATGATCATGGCCGTTGACCATGCCATCAACCACCGACCACACATCTTCTTCGCCGAGTTCTGGTACGTCTGTGATCGTCCCTTGCCCTTGACCATAGCCGTAGCTTCCCAAGTATCGTTCGCTGCGACTTGTAGTTAGTTTCCGACCCTTCGCCATCTATCATACCCACAATCTCCGGTGACCGGAAACCTTATATTCCGGCAACCAGATGGGCAAATAAGTATAACTACCTATATATACAAAGAAAACAACTGTAACTCCATTAGAAGAAGCTATAAACACAGACAGAGCTCGGAAGGTAGGACGTGTATATAAAACATTTGATTCCACCAGGCAGGCCGCACTTGCATTTCATGTGAATTTGGAGTTCATTACATCTGCATTTAATTAATTATCGAATCAGGTCAGGACAAACATATGGTGAGAATAGAAGACCAACACGAAACTGCAAGGAATAATTATATTAAGAGCCCTTAAAATTTGTCACTTTATTACTTAGATATCTTAACATTTAAAATATTATATACAGAACCACTAAAATTTGTACACACATAACATTTAGATTCTTACAATCATTTGTTAGTAAATTATACTCTTACCCCTTAATATTTATAAACGTATAATATTTAGATCTTTCAAGTTTAAAATGTTATATTTAGACTAAAAATAATTCAATCAAAAATAGAATATTATATATTTTAAATTTTATAACCAAAATTCATATTCTATTATGTCATTTATTAAAATAAAATTAAAAATAAAATCCAATTTTTCTTTAAAAAATCATAATTAATATACAATTAATTGACATAATATAACATGAATTTTGGTTTTAAAATTTAAAATATTTGATATTTTACCTTTAATTTGAGTTTTTTTGTCTAAACTTAAAAGGTCTAAATATACCTATTAAACGACCAAACTATCTCAATTAAAGATATAAGATATTGTGTTCATTACAATTTAGCCTTTTATTTATTTTTTTAGTTTTATTTCAATAGGTAGTATAATTATATACTAGTTATATATATTTTTTAAAAATTATATTTTTAATTTTAATTTTATATAAATAAATTAATTAATAAAAAATGAATTTTGGTTATAAAATTTAAAATATTTGATATTCTATTTTTTATTGGCGTCTTTTTTGTCTAAGTAAAATATTTTAAACTTAAAGAGTCTAAATATTATATGCATATAAATTTTAGAGGGTCTAAATATAATTTGTCAACGGATATTTTGACCGACATTGATGTTAAGAGTTCAAATGTTATGTACATACAAATTTTAACGGTCTATATATATAATATTTCAAATGTGAATGAGTTTTAGTAACGTACCGAAATCTGTAATTCTCCCAAACTGTAAAATCGAAACAGAGCCAAGATGTTTGAACTTTGTAGGTCCCAAGCGCTGTTAAAGGCGCGTTATGTCAACTTGTCAACCGCTGGATCTACCACCATTACACCCTATATCATAAAATGATTAAGAAAATTGATAAATTAACTTAAAATTTTGACTCGATAAATTATTATCATTTAATTGATAATAAATTTTAATATTTAATATTAAAAAATAATGTGACACATATTTAAATTAATAATAAATATAACAGTCACATCATTAAATTAAATTTTTAAGTCAATTTTTTAAATTTGTTTAACATTCCTCAACTACTAATCATACTCTTTCTTTTCTTATCCCACTAGTAATTAACTCCATCTTATTTTTTACCAATCCCATTAATAATGACTAAACTCATCTTAATCTTTACTTTTAGGATTTTTGTTATACCATATCACACCGTTTATATAAAAATATACTCAACTTGATTATCTGGTATAAATCTCTCAGGTTATATTCAAATTGGTATTGATTTTAAGTTTATTTTATTTTTTGTATGTGTTTTTTTTTTATCAATATCAATGAATTATATATATATACTACTCATAACTCGTGTCTGAAGGTACGATGAAACATAAAATTTGAAGGCTTAAAAAATCGATCCCACTATATTAATTACCCTTCTAACTCACTAAAATCAATTCATCCAAAATTGGAAGGGAAGTGGATGAAAAATTAATTATTTTTGTTAAGATATATCTAATTTGTCTATATATTATGTATATATTAATTTAATATAAAAATACAATGATAAAATATGTATATATATATATAGAATAAAAAATAAAATCAAAAAATATATTTTTTTCATCTTAATTAAGAGTGAAAATTTTCGACTCATTGAACTCGACACGAATTTTATGACGCAAACTTGATATTAACTCGACACAAACTTAAAAATGACTTGAAACGCGAACGAGTAATATAAAAAGCTCATAATTTTATAACTCAACACGAATTTGATATGACACGACTCGATTGTCACTCCTAATATTATGCAAAAAAAATTAATTATTTTTATTTTTCATCTATCCAATTAGATACAAAAAAAAAATGTATTACTCTTATTTTTATACTTTTTATTTTTTATCTTTCCAACTAAACGCAATACTATTTATTTTTTATCTTTCCAACTAAACGCAATATTCTAGTTTATCCGTAAAATCTACCGACTCACATCACTGAGGCTTCGTCCACGTCAGATTTTCAGTGTCCACTAAAACTACGCTGATGCAAGTGGCCACTCTAAACCTATCTAGTTTGACCTCGTCTCATTACATCCAAAACTTGGCCCCATGCTCCGTGTGGGGTACCAGCCCCTATTCGTCCTTTCACTGCCCAACACGAGTAAATGCCACGGGCGGTGGATCCATTCCAATCGCTCTCTGTCTGGCCACGTGGACAACAGTTACCGGTTAAATTACTGAAAGTCTGGGACGTCGAAAGGCTTTAATGATAGTGTGACCATAAATTAAACACGACTTAATTGTTTGATTGTTTGGAAGTAAACAACATTAATAATCTTTCTAAAAGAGTTTTATAATCACATTACTCGAATGATCCATGATATCGTTACGAGAATCATACATGAGATCTTTGGATAATAATTCTTAATATTCTTATGAGGTGTAACATAATTTATAATATTTATGTCATTTTTGCAGTTTAGAACTATGTTTGTTTTGAATTTTTTAAATTCGTGGATATAAGTTAAACCCAATATATCTTATAGAAAATTGTATCAAGTTGATCACGATAACTCTTATAAAACTCGAACTTAGAATTTTCATAATAGTCTCTACGACATTTCTTCTCCGAATTACCTTGAAGGGTAATCTTAATTATGTTCAGGATAAATAATAATTTCAATCCCATGGGATTAGCTTTCGGTAAAAAAGTAATTCCAATTTGTAGGGAGGAGGAGTAAATATTAAGTATAATAGTTATATTATATCAGTGTTGTTGAAGTGGTATAAGTATCTAACAAAAAAACTACAAAATAAATAAAATGAGACTCGTGGAGATAATTATGCATTACATGGCCGGGTGTTTATAAACTTTTGTGAAGCTGACTTCTTGACTTTCTAACTTATTTACTTATTAATGAACAATTATATGACTGATACTGTTGATGTGGTGTATCAGTTCCATCCAATATTTTAAAGGAGGAGCGAAGACATTGATGACACTATGGACGGTTGGGAATGGTGAGGTGGGGACAATGTGGGTCCCTATAGTTGTTGTCCTTAGTGAAGTAAACAAGAAATCTTATCAAAATTAAACATGAAATGCCAAGGGCACTTCACAATCAGAGAGGCTCCTACAGAAAGCCAAATTTGCCCAAAGGAAGGGGCATCAAACACACAGTTATGTGTTGGTTAATGTTTCCACTATTCCATGTTTGGTAGCTGATTGTACAGTAAATGCCACTTGGTGGGAGCATTATTGAGACCCCTCCGTCATTGTGTGAGCTGTGGCCAAACAAGGCGCAAGGGGCGGTTGGATCCTGGCTTGCAGTGACTTGACTTGTCTGGGACCCACTTACCCTTGGTTTTGAGTTGCTGCTGTGGACCCCCTAGTTCCCAACTCTGCTAGAGTTGGACCACCTATTATGGCTATCAAGTATCCTATGCAGCTGTGCTGGTTATCATTTTAATCTCGATATAAATGACCCACAATCGCCAAGCCAAAAAACAAATATATTAAATAGTTTTTTTTGGGTATTTTTACCCAATTACTTTTCAAATAAATAAGGTCAAATTTGTCCAAAATGCTGTCATTTATCTTCTTAGTTCTATTTGAAATTTAGTTTTTTTTTACTTATTTTCTAAATACTCCATGTTTTCACGTAAAAATAAAAAAATGTGGGTACGATTTGTGTTTTTCACTATAATATTGTGTTCACAAAACGTAATTTGAAATTTTTGCATTGAAAGTCTGTTTTGCAACATGATATTTTTCATGGGTTCAAACCAAAATTTCATAAGAAGCAATGATGTAGTTTATGAAGTAGGTAAGAAATTATACTAAAAAGGCAATAAAGAAAGGAAAAAACAAAACCAAGATAGTTCAAAATCTTGCATTCTAAAGGATTTGCTTGCAAGTCAAAACCCATTGGCTATTTTATGTATACTTCACCTTTCCAACTCTAAACATTTGTTTTTGTAGAATTTTATGGTATCCATCTTTGCATTTACAATTGATTCTAAGTACCCAAAAATTATAATTTGGATAAATAGAAATTATACTATCACTAAAAAAGTTACAAATTTTTCAAGATCAATCTCAAATTTTTTTTCTTTTTGTCATGAATAAACATTAAAAACTTTTATCGCAAATCATAAAAATTATAAATTTTAATACAGTACGTATTTCTTTAGTACCCAACTCAAATAATATGTTTTAGAATGTACAATATATTACTATTGACAACAGTCCAAAGTGATGAAACTCCAATAGATAATTTAAGATACATATAATAAGTTAAAATACATATAAATTGATCTGAACATCCAAACTGTTGAACTANAACTCCAATAGATAATTTAAGATACATATAATAAGTTAAAATACATATAAATTGATCCGAACATTCAAACTGTTGAACTTAAAAAAACAGTCCAAAGTGAAGTGGGACTCACCACTCGCGTCCTTACATTGAACTTAGACAGCCATAAAAGAACCACTCCCCTAATCAGTGTACCTGATTCATTTCATCAAAGGCTTCCATTGGCCTTCTTTGTTTTTTTTCTCTCCCAATCTTTTTGTTGTTACAAAGCAAAGACTTGGGTGGCCTCCATGTTCAGAATCAGAATCTCACCTGCTATACAACCAAGTGATTTTCATGGGATCTCATGGTTCCCCTTTGTATTATTAGTATTATATCATGTCAGTGTGTTTGGATTCCTTTCTAAACCCATGTGTATTTGGGAATCTATTCAATTTCTGATTTAA